AAAAAAAAAAAAAAAAAAAAAAAAACAAAAAAAAAAAAAATTAAAAAAAAAAAAAAAAAAACATTAATTATAAAAAAGAAGGGGGGGGGGGGAAGAAACATGGCTTAGAATAAAGGGAAAAACACGGGGATGTACCAGAAGAATATCTCATTTGCTTCTCCATTGCCCCCCCTTGAAAAAATGAAGGGGAGGAGGAGGAGGGTGGAAGGAAAGGAGGAAGGAAAAGAAGAGGAGGAAAAAGAGGAGGAAGAAGCAGCAGTACGACTTAAACTGGTAGGGTTTTTTTAGATTTTTTTTTATCCCGCCTTTATTATTTTTATAAATAACTCAAGGCGGGGAACATACCAGTACTCCTTCCTCCTCCTATTTTCCCCACAACAACAACCCTGTGGGGCAGGTTGGGCTGAGAGAGAGTGACTGGCCCAAAGTCTCCCAGCCGGTTTTTCATGCCTAAGGCGGGACTAGAACTCAGTCTCCCGCTTTCTAGCCTGGTGCCTTAACCACTAGTTTTCTTCCCCTTCATTTATTTAAAAGAATTGGGGAGGGGGAATAATCCCAAATGTGGGAGAAGAGGCATTGAAATGTTCTGCAGTTTTTGACAATAAGATAATACTTTTGGAATGTCAGACTTCACCTCACTGCTTATTTGGTCCCATCACAGTCAAAACACAGCAGCTGAGATCCAGCACTTTATATACAAAGTTGGACAGTCTCATAAATACATAAATAGTTCCTCCAAGCCTTTTGATACTCCCTCTCTGAAACATGACACGAGTTTTCTGACGGATGGTTTATGAACGCATTTCGGCGTGGCCTGCGTCGTTTGCTTGGCGGTTCGCTTCACTTGGCGAGTGAAGAATTCTTTATTATGCCCGGACTTGTGGGGCGGCAGGCGGACGGGGGAGGGGCGGAGAGGATGCTTCCAGACTTGTGCGTGTGAGGGGAGGAAGAGGTCGGGGCTGGGAAAGAAAAACCCGGTCGGGATTTGTCCCCACTCAGGGCCTGGCCTGCTCCAGTTGCTGGTGCTGACTCCGGATGGCGAACCGGCTGACGTGGACGGGGATTGGCACCACAATCTTGGGGTTTCGGGATGGTTCCCCGGTCTTAGAATTGGCATTGCCTGCCTTCACCCGTTTCCACTTGGCCCTCCTGTTCTGGAACCAGATTTTGACCTGCACTTCGCTGAGTTTGAGGGCGTGCGCGATCTGGGACCGCTCCGTGAGAGAAAGGTACTTCTTGCAGTGGAACTCCTTCTCCAGCTCCAGCAGCTGCTCACTGGTGAAGGCCGTTCGCCGCCGGCGGTTTTTCCCCGTCGAGGTGGCACTGTTTGGGTTCGCCGAGCTCTGGCCGCTCTCCTCCGGGCCGTTGCCAGCGTCGTCTTCCTTGTGGGCCGACTGGCCCGGCAGATTGTCATCGGAGCTGTAATCGAGATCGCTGTCCATCGAGAAACTCTCCTCTTTGCCTTTCGAGTCGTCCTCCACTTTGGCGTCTTCTTTCCCGGAGGCTGCTCGTGCGGTCCCTGGAGGAAAGCCAAAAAGAGCATCTGTTTTTATGTTCCACCCGGCTTTTTGCCAGCAGCACCCAAGAAGAGCCGCGTCCTCCTCCTCCTCCTCCTCCTCTGTGCAACCTGGGGGATGGGGAGAGGTTTTAGCCTCATTTCCAAGGTAGCAGAATCTGGCTTGGAAGCAAGCAAGAGGAGAGCAGCGACGAGCCAGGGACGGGGCAGCGGGACGGAGAACCATTTCCCCCGGTGCTCTAGGGAGAAGCTCAGTAGCCTTGAATATTATTTTCGGTGGATTCCAGAAACACCGTTTTAGGGCAGTGGCTAGAACGCGGACTTGCGGCATCGAAAAGACGAAAGCACAAGCTTTCGTGGATGGAGTCCGTCATGTCTCCCCGGAAGCGTCTGCCTCCATCGGTCCTTACATCTTTCAGATGCCGCAAGACTCTTCGTTGTCTTAGCGAATTCATCGCAGATTGCAAGGATCTCTGGATGGTCCTTTGCGCCCGTCGATCGCCAAGCGGGAAGCAGAAGGGTCAGAATGGCATGCAAAATGGGAAGGAAAGCTGGGCTCGCCCATCCTGGCGCATGCCATGCTTCTTCTCAGCCCAAGACTCGCTCATTCTTTTCTTGAGCAAGGGCTTAAGAAAGCAACCCACACGGCTGAGGTATCAGCGCCTTGCTCTTTGGCTTGCTGGCTCCAAATTACACTCCCCGAACGTCCCGAGCCTCTTCACAAACCACTTCTAATTATACGCAAGGAGTCGATTAGGAGGGATGATCCCTCCTCTCGCTGATCTATTGCTTAACCTTCCCCTTTTCCCCTCCCCTCGCCCGCGAACTCCTGAGAGCAGCCATTTACGAAGGAAGTGCCTATATTCCAGGACCATAAATGTTAAGTTTTTCCCCAGCCTGGGACACTCCATGTTCATTCCCCACGGGGGGCGATGACAATGCCTTTCCAGACGCCCCAAATAATAATAAAAAAGAAAAATATGAATTGCACATGCCATATGAATAATGCCCATTTTTCCTGCCCTCCCTGAGGTTCTGGTTTGCTGCCCATGAGAATTCCGGCGGAAAACTGAGAGAGAAATGCAAATATATATACTCGCACGCACGCACGCACACATCCATAAAATACACATATTCAATTTTCCAGACTGCCTTTCCGGTTGGAATTCTACGGCCTCGATCACCTCAAGACAAATGGGCACCCACATTCCACTTCCTTTTGGCTTCCTCAACCAGGGTTCATGACCAGTGGTCTGCGGCACGTCGAGACACGGAAATGCACTTACCGAGGGAAGCCTGCACTGCTTCGGAGGCAGAGAAGGCCAGTAGGGAGCACTCCTTGGCCAAGAATGCCTTGCCGTCTTCAGCTTCTGCCTGAATGGCATCCGCCTTGTCAAAACTGCCCTGGAGAGCTTGTGGTGCAAACTTTCTCGCCGCCTCTTGGTGCTGTGGGGAGGCCGAGAATGTGCCCGGCAGGGTGGCCATGAGGGTGGAAGTTAGAGCCATGCCCTGTGCCAGACTGGAGCAAAAACTGGTGGGCAGGCTGGGAATCTGGTGATGGTGAGGGTGCGAGGGCGGCAGTGCCGTCTGAGGCAAGGCGGCCGGTGGCGGTGGAGGTGGCGGCGGCAGTACCACTGGCCTGTAGGGCATGAACATGGGATAGCCCGTGTAGACGAAGTGGCCCGGGCTGGGCTGAGGCGGGCTGCCGATGAGCGAGTCTATGCTGAAGGCAGTGCTGCTTCCCAAAGGGCGCGGCATCATCATGAGCGACGGCTGGAAAGCTGCACTCATAGAGGCGCTTGTGGCCAAGGAGGCGCGTGAGACAAGAAGCTGGACGGGGCGGCTCAGTGGCTTCAGGGCCAGGCGCTGGCCGGGGGCAAGGAGGAGC